TTTTCACAGCACACCTAAAGTCCTCCTGTGTGTGTCGGTGAAGGAGCGCTGGGCTGGCTCCATGCCCCACAGAAGGCCTTGTTTCCTCTTGGCGACTCAGTCAGTTTCCTGATTGCAGGCGGATTGAGGGCTTAACATAATAACTTCAGAGAATGGAGATTTTAGAATTTGAAAGGACTTCTAGAGACGAATAGTTCAACTAAGTTTTACAAGGAAGTGAATGATTTTAACTCATTTGAACAAATGGTTTCCTGTGGGTCCAGTGTGTATCTTTTCTAGAGCCTTCCATGTATCCCATGGCCCCATCATCCATGCTGTCTCATTCTGAGCAATTATTTTGCTGGGTTAGCGCACCCCAAACTTTACTGACCAGAATTGCTCCAAAGAAAGCATATGATTCTTTGTTTAAAATAACTCATTTTGAGTTATTTTCCAAAAAGCTAGAAGTTTTTACCCTTCTTGGTTACTAACTTTTTTTTTAGGCACTAGGGAATCTCAGTAAGTAGCTTTTCCCATTACTAGGAGTCTTGGTTCCTCCGTAATGAGCCCACCTGTAATGGAAGATATAAACTTTTGACCACTTTGTTATTTGTGTGTCTACTTAGGTTAAACATGTAACTCTCAAACTCAAGACTCCACTAAACATATATCCACTTACACATTATAGGCAGAACCTTCCTAAGGCAAATCTTTCTCTCTGTGTGAATTTGAAATGTCTAAATATAATGGCAGCTCCATTTGTATATTTTCTGATGATTGAAAAGTTCTTTGAACATAAATTTCTAATAGAATTCTTTGCGATAAATCCTGAAATTAGGAGATGTTTCAGTAACAAACATGAAATCTGAGACATAACACTATAAAATTTCATCTCTTCCTCACATTATGATCTAATACAAATTGAGAGACTCTTTTAGGCCATTGTTTTCCAAATCGTGATGTAGGGATGTAGGCTGCTTCCATCTCGCACGGATGCCATCTGGAGTATTTGGCTTCGAGTGTTGCCGTGGAAGAGAGAGCTTGGATAATCCTGTAGGGATTTGGATGGTCACACAGGAGAGACAGACATCACTTTCCCCTTCTCTCATTAGCTATAATCCATTCTCTTGGCCCTACCTACCAGCCGGGGAAGCTGTGAAGTGTGGTCATGTCATGCCAGGAAGGGAGGAATGAAATGGCGTTTGGTGGGTGGATACACAGCATTATTTCTGCCACAGTCCCCTTCATTGACCTGATTCTTGGCTCATTTGTCCAGTTTTACTAGAATAGTCTTACCATTCTCTTGCTCTTAAAATTTGGCATCTTAAATCATCCTTATTCTTCATATTTTGAGTAAAATTACATTTAGTTTGATCAAGTTCGATTCTAGGGCTCTGGTTCTTTTCACTACTTTGATGTTGCAGATTCACCATGAAGGTGCAGGGTGTAGATTCGAGTGTTTTCTTGTTCCTATTTGTCCGCTCTCTCCCCCTAGCTTTGAACTTCCTCCTACATTTATCATCCATTCACTCCCAGAGATCACCCCTTTTCACAACAAAACCTACATGAGAAGTGTGGTAGTAACCTTAGTATATAGTTTGTCTGTAACTTAAGTGATTGGAAAAAAAGATGATTATTTTAGAATTTGGGATATCCAAGAGCTGCCTTTTTTTTTTGCAGTTTTTGGCCGGAGCTGGGTTTGAACCCGCCACCTCTGGCATATGGGGCCGGCGCCCTACTCCTTTGAGCCTCAGTGCCGCCCACAAGAGCTGCCTTTTATCAGTTCTCGTGAGTTATTAGACTCTTTGGAGCCAAACACCCCATTGGCTGATCAACAAAGTAAAATGCTAATTTTTGTTTGGGTCCCCAGTTGCTAAACAGATGAATATTGGCATTTAGAACATTGTGTTTCTAGCAGAAAATTGTACTGGAGAAACTGAAGAGAATAGAGGGAGAGGAAAGGACTCAGAGAGCATCTGCAACAGGGAGTTCAGTCACGCGGAGATGGAGATGATCCGTGTCTTCTCTGCTGGTGGGGCTGGAGAGACACCTCTGCACAATCAACTGTGCCGTGCTTCCTTTTCACTAATATTTGTCTGTCATCCCAAATTTCATTTCAACATTACTTCAATTACTTATAATTAATTAGATTACATTTCAGTTGCCAATAATATTTTAGAGTAACATGACCAATCTTGTGCATTTGTGCTGAGTGTGCTTCATTTCAACTTCAGAGAGTTGCATTCTTCATCTCTTTCCCAGCACATGGCATAGGCCTGGCAGGCAGCAGGTGTTGGTAGACGTTCGCTCCCTCAGCAAATATTTATTAAGGGCCTGCTATGCACTAGGCATTATGGCAGGTGGGGGACACTGCAATGAGGGAAAGGAGCAGTTTCAAGGGAGGACTGGTTGTGGTCAGACAGAAGGAAGGATTGGAGCAGAAGGGAGGTCTGCTATTTATAGGAGCTGAAAGAGTGGACAGGTGCAGGAGGAGGGGGCCTAAGGTGTGGTGGCATCTCAGTCCTTGTCACAGGCACCCTGAAAAGTAGCTGCTTCTCTGCCTTAAGATTCTCAAATACAGGATATACTCGGAATAGTTATGTCCATGGGAGAAAGCAGTTCTTTAAGAGGGGGACTGGGATAATTAAAGTAACCTTTATCAGATTTGATGATAATGGTTAGAATTACCCTTGTAATGAGGAGCAAAAGTAGTGATCAAAAATAACTTTGTTTCCAACTCTTAGACATTGCTCCAGTGATTGTGTGGTTGAATATTTTGAAAATAATGACTTACCTGTAAAGAGATGTAATTAGAACGCAGTTAGGGAAACCTCTCTGCCTTTTGGTGTGACAGAAGTTTTCATCAGAGGAATACAGCCCTGTTTGTGTATTTTCACAGTGCTGGTAGCTGAATTAGTTAACAAACAGTGAAAGACGTTCTGCATCTTGTCAGGTATTCTCATGTATGTAAAGTATTGTCATTACTTTTACTATTACTTTGATTTTTAGAAGAGAATGTGTAGACATTCCATAATTCAGTTTCAAATGTAAAATCATCAATGGATACATGTTTGATCTATGATTCCAATAGGAAAACATGTCTAAAGTATAAGCTTCTGCTTGTTGTAAAGGTACTTTGGGACACACAGGACACCATGCTGGATGCACACAGGAGGCTCCCTGTTACTCTGTTGACTGGTGCTAAGCACCCCTTTCCAGCCCTCTTTGCTGGGTTAGAGTGCATCTGATGCAACTCTCAAAATGATGTAAAATTATTGAGTCAGCTAAAGAAGTAGTGATACTGGATTTTTCTCTTCCTGGTGGGATTCTTGGTCTCAGGAATAGAAGAATGAACTCATGGACCACAGGCAAGCAGTAGAGACAGAGCAATAGTTTATTAGAAGATAGGAAAGCTTCCAACACTATGGAATGGGGGATGGGGAGCTGGTTGCCCTGGCAGCTTGGGTGGGTTGGGCTTTTATGCTTTGTCTGCTTCCTAACCTGCTGGCAAACACTGATTGGGTCCTTCAAACCTCATGACTTACGCTGATTGGTTTCTTTACATCTTAATTGACTGGTCTCTATTGATTGGCCCTTTATTTGTGCTGGTGTTTTATTTTTTTCTGCCCAATCCCCAGGGGAAGTCCCGCCCCTGGCATTGCCAGGGCCTAGCAACAGCCAGTGACCAATGGCTGCACAGCTCGCTCTAAAGGCGTCCTCCCCCTTCTTCTCCCTGCTGTTTCCCAGTCTCCTGCTTAAAGCCTTCCTCTCCTATCAGCATCCAGGTTTCCTATGTAGAAAGCCTACTACTAGGCAGAATCATGGGAAATCAGACTGCTAGAGCAGGAAGGGACCTTAGCAGTCTTCTGTTCCAATCCTTCATTTTGCATAAGAGGAAATAATGACCCAAATGTAGGGCACACAACTGGCCTCAATGGGGCTTGCTCCTCTGTCCTCAGTTACCAGCTGGATTAAATGAGTTAGTACCTTGATAGCCCTTAGAACAGTGCTCAGGAAATGTGAGTTATCATTTGTTATCAGTATTGCTAGTGGCAGAGCCCAAACAGGAAACTAGATGCAGTAACTGTCAGGCACATTTTGTATTTCCACATTGTATAGGGAGAAACATGTCTTGGTAAGTAGAATTCAAATAAAAATAATGACATCCTCAATGCCTGTTACTGTGCACTCAGTGCTGGTTTCTGGATGAAGTGTTACATATTTGTGGTTTCCTATAAACCTCACAATGTCCCATGAGAGTCACACTCTTGACTGTCTCCGTTTGACACATGAATGTGGTTCCACCACGAGTGAGGGGTTGGGCTAGCCTGTTCCATCTGATTTCAGATTCTGTTCTTAATCATTATTTTAGACGAGGGGTTGGCAAACTATGACCCATTGGCCAAATTTGGTTATAGCTGTTTTTGTACAATCTGTAAGCTAGAGAGGTTTTTTACACTTTTAAATGGTTGAAAGAAATAGATCACGTTTCACGATACCTGAAAATTCTGTGAAATTCACATTCCAGGCTCCATCAGGTTTTCTAGGGGTACAGCTGTGCTCCTTTGGTTACTGCTTTATGACATGACAGCAGGGTTGAGTAGTTGTAGCAGAGACCATGTGGCCTACAAAACCTTACTATTTACTCTCTGGCCTTCCTCAGTGATTACATTTTATGGAATTTCAATTACAGCATAGTTGTCTGATTTTTCAATAGCTTCCTGTCACTTGCCTTTTGATTTGTTCCATATTAATTAATGTATCAATTAGATGCGGAATCGTTTGTGTTTGAAAGTTCACCCTTACATCGTCTATGTCTTATCTTCTTTTAACAGACTGGGGAATGGTTTGTTCCTGGATGGAGTCTGAGGCTGAGGCTGCTGCTAACCTGTTTTTATCCTAGCTGTGGACCGCAGCCATTCGTGGTTTGCATGCTGCTCATGTTCATTTATTGAGCTGGTTATTTTTAAACCTCCATGTGTCTTGGATGCAGAAATCACTCTATTTTCTTTCCTTTGTAGTGGTTTGTTGTCTTCTGATTATGTGGAGATTCACTACGAAAATGGGAAACCGCAATACTCTAAGGTATGGTTACTAGCGTCCGGAAATCCTGTGGTGTACTTTTCATGGAACTGATCAATGCACACGGCATTGTTCTGATGTCTATCTCAGTAAAATCACCTGCCTCAGAGTTAGTGGAGAAATTTATTAAAAGTTAGAGATGTTTGAGACAACGTTAAAGATTTTAGGACAATCAAGAGCTGTTTATTGTTTTAGTTATACACATGGTGCCTTATGTGATGATATAAAGAACTGTATGGTTCCCTATCAACTTCATAAAGTAGTAGATCAAGAAGGACCAGGCTTGTGGTCATCAAATCTGCTTTAGAAGACTGAGTGGGTTACTAGAATGATTGTTTACCAGGAAGGGCAGAGAACAGGTGGAGAAATAAGATTTGGGGAGAACATTCAGAACAGTGGGGTGACTTTTATTATCCTGTACAACAGAAGAAATTGAGACAAAGAGAGGGCAAATAAACCTGCTCAGTGCCACTGAGCATTGTAATATAAAGGTAATTGAATTTCCTTCAGCTGGAGATTAACTTTTCTTCTCTTCATGGAGGATCAATAAGGAGCAAGTGGATTTAGATTAAAGTAGGAGAGAGAGAGAATTTGTATGCAAGAAACACTCTGATTTTCATTAGGGTGAAAATCTCTGGAATGGATCTGTAAGGAAACTCTGACTTTTAGGGAGTCAACAGAGTGCCGCTAACCCTAAGCAGTATCCACAGATGCCAGGGGCGTGGGAGAGGAAACAGAGGGAAACAAATAAAATGGGAACACAAAAAATTGCTGGATTTTTTTTTCTAGACAGCTAACAAGTGTTGGCATAAAAGTGGCACTTTTGGCTCAGTGCCTGTGGCTCAAGTGGCTAAGGCGCTAGCCACATACACCTAAGGTGGCAGGTTTGAATACAGCCTGGGCCTGCCAAATAACAATGACAGCTGCAACCAAAAAATAGCTGGCGTTGTGGCAGGCGCCTGTGGTCCCAGCTACTTGGGAGGCTGAGGCAGGAGACTTGCTTGAGCCCAGGAGTTGGAGGTTGCTGTGAGTTGTGATGCTATGGCACTCTACTTGGGGGGACAGCTTGAGCCTCTGTCTCAAAAAAAAAAAAAAAAAAAAGGCACTTTTCACATATGGATTTGCTGAGTTATGCAGCATAGAAAACTCAAATTTTCAGTCTGATAGTTTCTTAACAAATAATTTATAGGTGGCCATAATAGTAATTATTGCCCTGGAGGCCATAGCATTGCTCAGGATTTGTAACTGTCTAATTAACAGTTGACATATTGATAATTTCAAGTGTGTTCCAGACTTGGAATTTCATACCACAGATTAAGATCTTTCATATATTATTCTTCCTAGTTGTCAGTTCTTGCCTGAAGTTGCATCTTGAGGGTTGTTGAAGCTCCCTCAAAGTTACTGCTGTGGAAAGTGAGCAGAAATGCTTAATCAAGTGCAAGATGGAGCTTCTGGCATTTGTACAAGTCAAAGCTTCTGTCAGCTGTGCCAGGGCCCTGAACACTGCAGTTGCTGAATCATGAGCTTGGAGTAGACAAGATTGCACAGAACTTTATAGACTCAGCAGCTGAGCCACCTTTGCAGAACGCAGTAACCTGATCCAAATTTCTCACTAAGAAGCTTGGTCATTTTTTTTTTTAAGAAGCAGAATAGCAAATTGGCCTCCAGAGGTCATTTGAGGTCCCAAAAGGAGCCTTTATCATTAATAAGATGGTTCAAATTTCATATACGTTATAACTAAAACTTCAAACAAAAAGCATTTCAACTCTGGCAGTTTCTTTTTGTGTTCACTGCTCTTCTCTCACAGATGACCCATTTTCTCAAACAGTTCATATATCCAAACATACTTGCTTCATGGATAATGAATGAACATCTGTTTTTTATGTACCTTTACATACACACACCCCCCAAACCCAAGATCACACGGTGCTACTGTCTTGGAGCAGGATTTAAAAAATCTAACAATGTTATAAATACTTCAGCATGCACTAAATAAATTTCTAAACATTTATTTTTAAAAACGGAATAATTTTCTAATTCATTAGTTATAATTTGCTTTAAAATTTCATGCTTACATTTAGATTGTTTCTACTTCCTCACTATACAAATAACTCTAAGGAAAGGCCTTCCGAATTCCTTCTGAATATATCCTTAGGGTTGCTTAAGGATTAATTCTGAGAACAGAATTTCCTGAGTCAAGGAGTTGGTACCTTTTTAAAGGCTTTTGGTACTTATGCCAAATATTATTAACAAAATTTCTTTCTGAAAGTTGGCATGAATTCACAGTTCCACTACCATTACACACATATTTTTAAAGGATTTGTAAATAAACTTCATAAACATGGCCTTCTGTGTTATTTAGGAAAATTTTTGTACGAAAGTACAAAAGGGGAAATTATAAGAATGGTGAGAATGAACTTGGTTTTACACAGTATGTGGCCTTTCTTCCAAAGATCTCAAGCTATTTCAGCTAAAGGACATGCACATGAAAAACACAAACTCACACACACAAGTATTAGTCACATGACAGAGAAAAACAGCCTCTTTGACTATGAAGTTAAATATTTATGTGGACAGTGACAATATTCTAGAAATTAGCTTCAAACAAAATGATGAAGTCACACTTTGAAAAGATGAGTGTATGGGTTTTCCCACTTTACCATTACCAAGCTCGTCCCTTGCTCCCAGTTCTTGCTAGAAATGTCTTGGCTTTTACTGGGCAGAAGTGGGTTAAAGGGGTTTCTTTTCATGTGAAGTATGTATAGGAACTGGACAGGTCAAAAAATTAAGTATATAATATAACCACTAGGTAGCAATTGGTAAGAAAGATGTTTTGTTTTACACCGAACAGACTAGTTGCTTTTATGATACTTCCTACCAGGGCTTTGAACCTAGTATGCCATAAAACAACTTGATTGATTTTTTAAAAACTAAATTTAAAAAGAACTTACTGATTTTTTTCTTTTGTTTAAATAAAATTTTTAAAATGTAATTTATATACCATAAAGTTTATAATTAAATTTTTTTAGTATATTTAGAGAACTATGCATCCATCAACATAATCTAATTTTAGAACATTTCCATTACTTCACCAAGAACCCCCCCCAACCTATCAATAGTGGCTCTCCACCCTCTCTCTCACCAGCTTTGTAGATAACCACCGATCTACTTTTTTTCCTCTATAGATTTGCCTATTCTAGACATAAATAAAATCATAATATGTGGGCCTTTGTGAACAGTTTTTTTTTTCTAGTTTTATCAAGGTATGACTGAAAAATAGGAATTCTATACATTTAAGATGTGCAGCTCAAACTGCATGTATAGGAATTGTGTATATACAAGTTGTCCATAGATACTTAGGTTGTTTTGGTATCTTGGCTGTTGTGAATAATGCTGCAGTGAATATGGCAGTGCAGATTTCTCTTTGAGATTCATGTTTTCTTTCTTTTTTTTTTTTTTTACTTTTTTTCATATTTCTTTCCTATTTTTAATTTGTTGAAGAACCTGTCTATTGTTTCCATAATGGCTGTTCCAATTTACATTCCCACCAACAGTGTACAAGGATTCCCTTTTTTCCACCTCCTCCCCAACGCTTGTAATCTTTTGTCACTTTGATAATAACTGTCCTCAGAGCAGTGAGGTGTTATCTCATTGTGTGTGTTTTATTTTGTTAAGAGACGGGATCTCATTTTCCAGGGTGGAGTAGAGTGGTGTGATCACTGCTCACTGCAGCCTCCAACTGCTGGGCTCAAGTGATCATCCTGCCTTAGCTTCCTGAATAGCTCTGACTCAGGTATGCCACAATGCTTGGCTAATTTAAAAAAAAAAAATTATAGAGATGGAATTTCCCTATGTTGCTGGTCTTTTTTTGTTTGTTTTTGAGACAGAGCCTCAAGCTGTCCCCCTGGGTAGAGTACAGTGAAATCACAGCTCACAGCAACCTCAACTCCTGGGCTCAAGCGAGTCTCTTGCCTTAGTCTCCCAAATAGCTGGGACCACAGGTGCCTGCCACAATGCCCAGCCATTTTTTGGTTGCAGCTGTCATTGTTATTTGGTGGGCCTTGGCTGGATTCAAACCCACCACCTTAGGTGTATGTGGCTGGTGCCTTTGCCACTTGAGCCACAGGCGCCGAGCCATGTTGCCGGTCTTGAATTGCTGTCCTCAAGTGATCCTCCTGCCTTGGCCTCTCAAAGTGCTAGTGTGAGCCACTGAGCCAGGCCTTCACAGTGGTTTGTATTTGCATTTCTGATGATTAGTAATGCTGAACACCTTCCCAATGTCCTTTTTGGCCATTGTATGTATTTCTTTTTTGAGAGATGTCTTTTCAGGTCCTTGGCCCATTTTTTAATCAGGCTATTTGTTTTCTTGGTATTGAGTTGTTTGAGTTCTTCATATATTTTGGATATTAACCCTTATCACGTGTATGGTTTGCAAGTACTCTCTCCCATTCTGTAGGTTGTCTCTTTACTCTGTGGATTGTTTACTTTGCTGTGCAGAAGGTTTTTAGTTTGATGTAGTCTCACTTGTCTGTTTTTGCTTTTGTTTCCTATGCTTTTGGGTGAATACGACTTTACACCCACTAGGATGGATAAAATTAAAATGATGGGCAATAACAAATGCTGATGAGATTGTGGAGAAATTGGAACCCTCATGCACTGCATATGGGAATATAAAATGGTGTGGCTGCTTTGGAAACCATTTGGACAGTTTCTTAGAAAGTTCAGCATAGAGTTACCATATGACTCAGCAATTCCACTTTTAGGTATAACCCATGTGAATTGGAAACATATGTCCACAGAGAAACTTCTACATAAATGTTCATAGCAGCATTATTCACAATAGCCAAATTGGAAACAATCAACAAATGTCTTTCAATCGAAGAATGAATAAAGAAAATATGGTATATTCACAAAATGGAATTGCTATTCAGCCATAAAAAGGGATGAAGCATGGATCTGTACTACAACATAGATGACTCTTGTAAACATCATGCTACGTGAAT